ATATGGCAAAAGCCCGCTCCACAATACACCCTTTTGTTATGCCCATATCCCACATTTTTTTCCTGATACAATAATGAGCCCATATCCTTCAAACTTGCAATTACTAAAATGTCCCCGAAATATAGACTTTAGGTCTTCTGCTCCCTCATTCACGCCGCTTTCGACCGCAAGAAGCTCGGAGTTTGCAGATAACTTTTCTCCATGGAATCGTCCTAATTTTTGCATTCCGTTTTCTCCACACGGTAATATCCTCACCTCGTCGATGATTTTGCTATTTTTCCTTCAATTTTGTTTGTCTTCAGCCCCCTGTTCGTCAAAATTTCCCCTTTTGCAGCACTATTTTAAACCCTAATTTTATGTATATGTTCAATGTTTGCGAGATACATTCTTTTTCTCATCGGTTAGCCTTGTTTCGCATTTAAAGAAATGTAAGTACCGCGATTGATTTAATTCCTGCAATTGTGTATATATATATTTTGCTATTTTTGCTGTTTGAGTTATGGATCTGAAACTTTTTCCCGTCACATTCACAGATTCATGATTGTCGTTTCTGACCTACAACAACAAATTAATTTACAGGTTTCAAAATAATATCTCTTTCCTTCCACTTCAAGTTGTTGTCATGCTTCTGGGACTGCTATTATAAAATTTAACAGAAACATAATTTATACATTCATGCCTGTTATTTCATGTTACTGATATCTCCTTTTTGGTTTTTTTTATTTTTTGTTTGTTTTGTTGTTTCCATTTTTGCTTTATGACATAGCTAAGTACCCAAGCTCTTGTTCAGAATGGCCCAGATTTCCAAAACAAAAGCCGAAATTTTTCTTCTGATAGAGGAAATGATGAATGAGTCAATATTTTTTATGAATATGGTCATTAAGATGCGAAAGCAGAGTCGTAGACCGTTTACAAATGAAATTGAGAAGAGAGTAAGATACGTGATGGCAAATAGAATCCCTAAGCAAATTGAGCATTTGAACAATTTGGTGGCACTTAATGAAACTGAATGCTTGGAGAATTTGCGAATGTCCAAAGGAGCTTTTTCTAGGCTGTGTTACATACTTTTGAGTGCTTGAGGGTTGTGTGATTCTAAATATGTTTTAGTAAGTGAGAAGGTCGCATTCTTTCTTTCAATTATTGCCCACCACAAAATAATGAGAGTAGTTAAGTTTGACTTCAAGAGGTCCAGCCAAACAGTAAGCATTTACCTACATGAGGTTCTAGCAGCTGTTTTGCGTCTTCATTCAATTCTGCTTGTTAAACCGGAATCTCTTGAAAGTACACTGGACAACAGATGGAAGTGGTTCAAGGTACAAAAAAGCCACCATTTTATTTGATTTTAAGTTACTTTTAAATGTTTTAACACAAATCACATAAATTAATAGGTCGTTTCAATTTTTTAGGGGTGTTTAGGTGCTCTAGATGGAACTTACATTCAAGTAACAGTACCTGAGGTAGATAAGCCAAGATACAGAACAAGGAAGGGTCAAGTTGCTGTAAATGTCCTAGGAGTTGTAGATCGAAATTTAAATTTTGTCTATGTTCTATGTGGGTGGGAAGGGTCTGCCGCGGATTGTCGGGTGTTACGGGATGCTATAGCCCGACCAAATGGTTTAAAAATTCCACGAGGTAATTTAAAATTCAATAGAGTGTAGTTATTCTATTAAGATGTATGTCAAAGTTCAGTGCATAATTAAATTACATAACTTGTTTCAAAACAGGTAGTTACTATCTTTGTGATAACGATTATACAAATGGAGATGGATTTCTAACCCCTTACAAGGGAGTAAGATATCACTTAAAAGATTGGGGAGCTGGAAGATTATCACCTCAGACACCGGAGGAATTTTTCAATATGTGTCATTCAAAAGCACGAAATGGTGTGGAACGTGCTTTTGGGATTTTAAAAAAAAGATGGGCGATACTTCGTATTCCGAGTTTCTACGACATTAAAACTCAGAATAGATTAATGATGGCATGTGTTCTCCTTTAATTTCATCCGACTTGAACTTCCTAGTGACCGGTTAGAGACAAATGACGAGGAATCTGTTGACAATGCTAATGATGATGGGGACGACTCTTCCTTAATTGATGTTGTAGAGACCTCAAACGAATGGTCGGAGTGGAGGGACAAGCTTGCTAATGAAATGTTCAACGAATGGAGATGTATTAGATGATATGTGACTTTAATTTGGAGACATGTAATTTAAAATTTACCTTCATTGTGTTTGCTCCGCACTTCTTATATGCAATTTGAGGCTTGTTATTTAAATGTCTAAATGTGTGTCCAATATGTTTCTCAAACTCTGAATTGTCATGTTATAAAAATTGTTATTTTGGGTACAACCTTTATTTGTACTACTTCCAGGTAATATTGTTCAGTTGGAATTGTATATTGTGGGTGACTAAGAATGGATATGGGTGGTGGAGCAAGGCAAAAAGTGAGAAAGCCAAGGGCAGACAGAGGAAGGAGAAGTTGGAGCAGGCAAGAGGAAGAAGTTCTAATTGGGGCTCTGAAAGGAATTGTCGCTATTGGATGGAAAGCAGATAATGGATTCAGAATGGGGTTTTTGAACGTTCTAGAACAGGAACTGAGGAAACAAATGCCTGAAACTGATTTACGAGGACTGCCACACATCAACTCCAAGATTCATGTATGAAAGAAAGACTACGCGAGCTTTTGCACAATGCTTGCAAGGTCTGGCATAGGTTAGAATGAAAGCACAATGACGATCGAGACAAAGGACGACACATGGGCTGATTATGTAAAGGTAACCAATTTGTAGTTTTACTTAAATGGTCGTTGTACTTGCTAGATTTGCATTTATTAAATACTCCTCTTACAGATTGATGGAAATGCTCGCTTAAAGCGATATAAAAGTTGGCCATACTACTATGACTGGATCCACATTTTTGGAAAAGATCGGGTGACGGGCGAACAAGCCGAGGACATTCTCGATGCGGTCAGCAATGTCAACATTGGAAATCCTGATATATCACCTACCCCAGAAACACAACCAACTGATGATTTTGGACTTGACCAAGATGAAAATGTTCCAGAAACATTGTCTGAAAGCATCCCGCCTTCCTCAAGTGGAGGTAAGAAAAGTAGCGGCCGCAAACGGAAATCAATTGAATCTGCTGATCCTTTATGTGATGTCATGAGAAGCTTCTCTGAAAATAAAAGTGCTCGGTTATGTGAAGTTGCAAAACGAATCGGTTATGAGTACGATGTGTCCCAAGCACGAAAGGATGTGTTCGTTGTAGTTCGTGGCATTGAGGGTTTGAACTTACAGGAACAACTTTTCATATCGAAGATACTTGTGAAGAACACGGATGAGCTAGACTTGTTCTTCAGCTTGGATGAGGGTGCAAAAGCAGAATTTGTTCGGATGAAATTAACAGGGACCTTTTAGTTATGCAGTATTTCTCGAGAACATTATGTTTTGGATGCATGTTTTGTGACATGATTTTGTAACACTAACATTGAAATCATGTAATTTTCTGGAATTCAGAAACCATGTGTTGCTTTTGTTATTCGAAACTTAAGATCATTTGATATGCAAGTGTTTTGCTTTGTTATTGTAATGTTCAAATATGGTTTAATTAGTTCAGTATTGATGGTGGGTGGATTCATATTTTTCCATATTAGTGCTTTATCATCCTAGTAAGAGTTGGTGGAAATTATAAATGGTGTTACACAGGTAGTCTTATATTTTTTAGCTAGTTCTTGGTTAGTGTTAAACAGGTAGTGCTTATCATCATTGTTAGTGTTAAACATGTAGTGTTTATCATCATTGTTAGTGTTAAACAGGTAGTGCTTATCATCATATTTTTTTGCTTTAGTTCTTGTACTAATATCTACCTCCTTTAATTGAGTTTGTATACTAGTATGTTAACTTTACATATCTTACATTTTCTTGAAACTTTTTAACTTTTAATTAGTCTTTGTTTTTTTTTTTAACTTTAATGCTTTTCGAATACAATCCATAACACATATGAAATCGCACGGTTGGACAATGAATTCGATTAATTATAGTTTAAAAAAATTGAACCGCATCAAAATGCTCGGTTAGGCTCGATTTTATTCATACTTACAACGCTTCCAAAAGCCATAAGCATTTATGTAAATGTATTTTTTATTATTATTTTTTTTTTCTGGGTACAAGCATTTATGTAAATGTTTTTATTTTTGGGTACCAGCATTTATGTAAATATTGAATGCTATTTAACACACGTCTAACCTAACTCCCTATTCTTTAGGAAACATCGCCCGTATCCTTTCATACTCTTCATTTGCTCTTGCGTCGCCGGCGGCAATCACCGGGCTCTGGACCTCGCGCACAACAAATAATTTCGCTCAGGTCTGGCTCTCTAAATACATCTCGATCCATTTTTTGTTTTTTTTTTTTT